ACCCTACCCTACCCACACCCACACCCACACCCACACCCACACCCACACCCACACCTACACCTTACACCCACACCCACATCCACACCCACCCTTTCTACGATGCTTCTTTATGTTGAGAAACCAGAAAGAAAGGCCGTGATTATCATCTACTGAAATAATATCAAGACACGAGGAACGAAATAATTTTAACATTATCTACTGTTTCGATTTATGAGCTTTCGATGTTTTATTTAAACACATAAATTGAGATTTGATAAAAGTTTAAATTTTTGCGACTGCATAAAAAGTATTATCAATAACTTCTTATGCTGCTTGCTTAGAAACAAATTTTTCTGTTGCATTCACGTGCATTATGGCATATTTATTTTAATAATTTCTTGTAAGTCACAACGGAGATTGAAATGTTTTGTTAACGATCGTGAAAATATGAAAACGATATTGACATTCTTTCTTAGAGCAAAATAATCCATTTGTAAACATAAACAATACTGAAAGAAAATCACATTTCAATGATTTTCGAAAACGACTGTTTCATTTCAATCATCGTTACACAGATTTGCATCAACAAAGCAAACTAAAAGATGCCAAGAGTTGGAGAAACTGCGACTCCATATATTCCTCGCTATAAACCAGCTTTTCATCAGGTAACTCAAATAGAATACACATGTAAGGAAGTGTCTATCTAGAAAATACTAGAATCTGAATTTTGTGATTGTATTAGGGGTGGCGCATTAGCATTAGTATTAACATTAAATTAATGCTAACACCAATATTCTTGTTTTCCGTTCCTAAGAAAAAGTATTTGAATTTGTATTGATTAATGTAAGGTTAGACGCAGCCAGCAGCCCTGATTAATTCTAATACTTTTATGTTACAATTTTAATATAAAAGTATTGTAGCTGATATAAATTAATACTATTATAAGCATTAACTTATTATTAGTTACAATGTTTTTGTATTAAAATTGTAACACAAAAGTAATGGAATTAATCAGGACTGTTGACTGCGTCTAACCTTACATTAATCAGTACAAATTCAAATACTTTTTCTTAGGAACGGAAAACAAGAATATTGGTGTTAGCATTAATTTAATGCTAATACTAATGCTAATGCACCACCCCTAGATTGTATGCTTTGATTAAATCTTTCTTGAAAACGGAGTTTGATGTATCATGGTCCACAAAATATTTTTCTTTTACGAGGTTTTATTGCTAATCTCGTATTTCGAGTAGGGTCGACTGGTCATACCTCCATCAGTTATCAAATCTATGACACACAAGCAATTCACGGATTGCAATGTGACTCCGCCGGAATCACTTAACCAATCTATCAATGTGAGCCTAGATGAAATAGAAGAAATTGAAAGCAATAGGTTTGTATACTATTTTCATGTCAGATTTTAACTATTTAATAGATTTATTCGAAGGATTTAATAAATATTTTTCCAGTCGTCTTACGCTCTGAGTTTGAATACAATTCTTCATCTCTGTAGCATTTATACGTCTATCAAAAACTACTATAGCTTTAAAAGCAGTAGTGTCTAAATTCAGAAGTTTCTGCAGAAATATTAATAGAAAGACTTGAATATATTCTGCTTAAAAAAGTCAGGTCCGATATGTTCTAGTATCATAGATGTGAATGTGATCGATTTCTATAGTAGTCCATGGGTATATATAAGAGGTATAGTTGTCGTTTAGGTTCATGATGAGAATGATAATTAAATTAAGTAAAAGCCAAAATGCGAAAAAAGATCGAAGAATAAAAATAATGTGCGATTAGTATTCCATTGCTGAAATTCTGTTGAGTATTCCATGATGCTGAGAGAGAGAGAACAGTGTGGTCCATGTTTTCTTACAGGACTTTTAGCTATAAGGACTTGCTTGATGTGTGTATGTGCCTGTGTCCTGCACATCGACATTAACAGAGGTATCATTGGTGCATGTTTCTATCAATCGATTAATATTTCTAGTGATAACTGAGAGTATGAAATTAAATTTTTAATGCTTGTTATAAGCGGCGTATAACATTGGAAGAAGTCAATTTCGAAGTTCACTAAATTTTTTACTGAAACTTCAACTTTAATATAAAAACTTCTTTAAATCATCGGTTTCCTTTTCTAATATTTATTATACAAAGAAATACTTTTTTGAGGTTTTAACTATATTTTATAGAGGTAGTTGGACACGAAACAAATTCTATATCAAATTCAACTCGAATATGTTTCGAACATCATGTTGATGAGCACTGATACATTAGCTTCAAAATAAATATGAGAGGAAAAACACTACGATTTAAAAACGTACATCATCGTTTTTTGGAGAAATATTGGGTCAAACCTTCAGTTTTTTTAATAGTTCTGAAATAAAACGTTGCCGAAAAATGTATTATGTTCACTATACACAATCATGAAGAGTTGTAAGAAATTTGCAAGTTAATATCACAACTTTGCATAAAAAAATTCACCTTTCCTTACAGACTTTTTGAAGCTTTGACACATAGATCTAACAATAGTATTGTAGATTCGTCATGACGTTGACTTAGTCTTATTGTGCTCGTTCATTTTTTGCTTTTGTTTTGAAAAAATAGCAACAAAAAGCGGGGTTTATATGTAAAAATATGCGTCGCTCTTTTGCTTCTGCTTATTGCAATAATAATCACATTGGCTGTGGTCATTCCATTGTGCATCCTGCAACAATCTAAACGCACATCAACAACTACGACAACAAGTTCTACCACAACTACGGCCAGTGTGTTCACAATTTTTTATCTTTTTCTTTTCTAAGAACTATAATTTTAGCCTTATTGCCATGTTCAACTGGTTACACGCGGACACCATCAGGTTCATGTGTCAATCTTCTAATTGACTTTAATAATTGTGGTTCAGTCGGTTATGTGTGTGCATCCAGCTTTACCAGTTGTTCGAATGGCGTTTGCAGCAATGCACCTGCTGTGCTACTTCCTGGTGCTGTTGCTGTTTCCAATTGGGGTGGGTCACTTTCAGTTGATGATGTGGTTTACACACTAAGTGTTCCATTCAATATCTCAATGTATGGTTTTTCAACCACGACTCCAACAGTTACTACCAACGGTGTAAGTTTTTCAAAAGCTTGCTAAGTTCGATAACGTGTTTTCAGAAACAGGTCAACAAAAGTATAAATTATTACATACGTTTCTTTTTAAAAAAAAAGTACCCATTGTGTTCCAATGAGTATAATAGTCAAGTTTAGTTATATCTAATCTTAATGTCAGCAAACGATCATCATACTTACAAATATCATTATAGAAATAGATTTAGAATTTATATTGGCTAATAATTGGAAAAAATTCCGCTGCTATATATAACAACGAAATTGTCTGATTCCAAATGAAGAACTAACAAGGAAGATATTTTTCGACAAAAATAACTAATTTCGAGACTTAACATTTCTGGAAAAGAGTGCTTATCATATCATATATGAATATTATCATTTATACTTGTGAAAATAAAAGCATGTTCTTTAATTAGAGAGTAAATTTTTTCCATTTCAATCCTTGTAGGTTGTTTGTCTTAGTAGTTGTTCTAATGCATATACAAACGGTAATCTTCCGACGAGTTCATTTTCCGGACCAACAGCACTTGGATACTGGGATGATCTTATGATCTATGCTAGTACTTCTCAAAGCGTCTACTATGGTACTACAGGCACAGCACCAAATAGAAGTTTAGTCTTTGAGTTTTATGAAAGTCATTATGGCCAATCAACTCAATATTACCACTTCCAAATTGTTTTCTATGAGAATATACCGGATGTTGTTGACTTTTTGTATTTTCAAATTTCTGATGGAGGTTCTTCAGCGACAATTGGTGTTCAAAGTGAGTTTCTGTTTGTACTAATTGACGATTGATTATGGTACTATGAGTATTGCTTAAATTTTAGGCTCAGGATCTGGATCTAGCATAACTTATGCGGTCAATCAAGCAAATTCGGTGCCTGTTGGAACATCAGCAACGAATTCTCCAACATTAATACTATCATTTGATACAAATATCGGTACAATGACACAAACAACAGGATAAATGAAACTCAAAAACAGTATTCATAAACTTAATTATATTTTTATTTTTATTTTTTTATGAGTAAATTGTATGCACATAGTGCTTCTGTAATTTTGAAAATCAGTAGAATAATATAGACTAGAGGTGTGAGTAATTCCTTTCAACAATCATACATTCATATCTTACACTTGTATTCATACCAGAGTTGCCAGATCTTCCGAAAAAATTCCGGATTTTGAAAGTTTTTCTGGATTTTTCTGGGTTTCCGGATTTCGGACACTTTAGTTCGATTTCATTTCACTTCTATTTAACACTCTAAATCAATCATTACAAACTGGATAGAAGTTTACTGTTTGGATAATGCCTTTATTTGTTAAATCTACTCTTCTCCTAATCTACTCATATTCATTCCATTTTCATTCTCAATTACGTGACATAATGGTTATATTGAAAGTGCTTTTTCAATACGAAATATTTATTTGATGATCAGCGGGACCGTATGCCAACAGTACTCATTACAACTGAATTAAAAACTCGTTTAAATTTCCCTTTATCGTGAACAGAAATTTATGATTTTTCCTGATCAATACCAGAAGTATTGAAACTTATTTTAGTGAAAAATGTTTTACAAAAAGCAATTTGTGAACTAATAATGAAGTGCAATATCTAATTGATAGTTTCTCTTTCATAAAGTTACCAGTGTTTTGATATGTATTTTCTTTTGTTTCATTTAAATATATTTTGTAGAGGTAAAGAACAGCGTTGCTGATAATTTGATTAAGAAAAATGCACTTTGAGTAATTAGAAACGACCCTAAAAATTTTTTCCCGCTTTCGAGAAAAAAATTCCCGAGATTTTCCGGATTTTGGGATTTGAATTCCGGGCTTTTGAGTTTCACATCTGGCAACACTGATTCATTCTCTTAAAAAAACACAATTTGTATTTTAGCTTTATATCAACTTATGATTGTTATGTATAGTTGTTTAAAGGTAAACTTGGCAGTGAATAAGTATCCAATAGATATAGGTATTTATTTTATTATTATTTATGAATTCAATCAAATGAAAAATATGTTCGCTCAAACATAAATGAATTTTATTCATTATTACCACTATTTATCAATAGTATCAAACTTGTATATGTTTGAACTGAAAATTTATAAACTATTATTGTTATTTTGTTTTTTTGCCAAACCAAACTCATTATGACTTCGAAGAAACACATCGAGTTTTCATTTAATGAAATTTTGTTTTGAGATATTATCAAGATGTTGTAAAATGTTAAATATCGATTTAGTCGATTATCATCGTTTTTATTTAGCTCTAAATTTTCTGCTGAAATTCATGACAGTTATTCCGAATTCTATGAAGCTGTAGAATGATAAATTACGTATTATAAAAAATCCTTGAATAGATCGCACTGAAAGTTTTATTCGTATCAATATGTAAAAGAAAACTTGACGTTGCAATAATCAGGATTATCTGTCAGGTTCAAGCTAATCAATCTATCCTTGTAACCCATGCGTTGAAAACAATATTTAGAGTTGCAGTAGAGAGTCCATGTACTGAAAAATTAGCTACGTTAGCTTAACAAGATGATCTGATAAAAAAAATAATTTCAAGCATCTATAATAGGTGCTCTATCTGTTGAACACAAGAAGTTTCGAAAATATTTGTCATCTTTTATTTCAGAATTAAAACATTTAGACCAGACATACACATAATGTACTTGAATGATCAAATTTACACAAACATCCTTCCTAATGACGGAAAGACAATGGAACAATAAAAAAAGGTATAGAAAACACAACCATTACTGAGCCAACAACGATTGTGATTATACTAGTTGAATAACTTGGAAATGTCCATATAACAGAAGTGACAGAAGTCTTATCATACCAACATGTATTCGATAATCTGTTCTAAAAATAAATACAATAATATTATTATTTAAATCTATTTTAAACTGTGTCTTACTTGATAATCACTTTGGCTGCTTTGTGCATACAATCTTATGCTACTTGTGATGTGTGAACCATTAAAAACTAAATATGTGACATTAAATTGTTCATCATAACAGGTATAATAAGTACACCCATCATCATTTGAACAATCTTTACATGTTTTCTTTCCATATGAGTAATCGTTGATAAAGCATGTTGTATTAATATAATTATTTTTCTTTTCACGAGTTCGTACAGATTGGACAGCACCATGTACTACTATGCCTATTGCAATGCCATCGAATAAGATAATAAATGCGTACCATGCTATAAAAAATGTAACCGAAAATGCAGTAAATCTACTCATTTCGAATAACACACGAAGTGTTTTCTGATTCAAATATTTCAAATTAGTTTACACAGGAAAAATTCAACACAGACTCACATATATTATGTTTATTTTCGTTCTTTATTCAATAGAGCATGACACAGAATTACATCAGTTAGATAATTATACGAAAAAAAAATTACATATATTACTATACAAGATGACGTCATTGATATGAGTAGATTTTGTGCATGTGAAGGCAAAAATTGCATGAATAACTTGTAGCAATCATTACTAATGCTAGTTGTTAAAGCTTCATTCTTTCACTTTTTTAATGATATATGCATATTAGATATATGTTATGTGTTCTAATCTATATGCACAATCTTTTTTTTTCCTCGGTAATGAAAAATAGACACAGTATATATAATGTGCATAAAAATGCGCGAAAATAAAGGATACAGAACATTAACTTTTCTTTTCGAATTTCAACGTATATAAAATAGCATCCATTTGATTAGAAAGCTGATTTATTTTCAATTAACTATGATATCATCATACACCTTACGTTGTATTCATAAAATTCTAGATCATGACAACATATACTCACTGTAGTTATAAATAAATGTGAAGGGAACGAAAAAAGTTTTAAAAGAAGCAAAATTCACGTTATTTTCATTTGGATATTTCCAACTTTGATCATAAAAGGAAAGAATTAAACATGAATCATTATTTACTACGTATTTGTATTTAACTGAGATAAACTTTCTTTTTATGTTGAATGTTTTCGAAAACAATCATGTTCCGATGTCATTCATAAATTGAATTCATCTAAAATTGCATTAGTTTCAGCTTTGCAAAGTCACTTAATTGATGAACTATTTATTTGTTATCAAACAATTATTATACATCAATTTCAAAAAATTAAATATACAATGAACGATTCTGTTAACGATTTATCTACAACAATAAAAACATTTCGTTTTGGTTCAGATCAGCTTTTATGATTGAATAAACACTAAATAAGAAAAATCCCCTACTTAACTACATTGGTCTGAGCGAAAGATAATTTTGATTCGATCAAAAAGCAATGATGGATAGTAATAGCTCGATCCTCACATTAAACTACCATACTTTTTATTTATTCTTGATTCAGTTTCATTTATCAGAATACGACAGATATTTACTGATCTATCTAAGAATTAATGTTTTAGCTATCATTGCTCTTGTGGATTTTCTTGTCATTGGACCTAGAAGAAGTTGATCCAAGTATTTTTTTGGCATTATGATTTCGGTTCTGAATTAGATCTTTTTGAATTTATTTATAAACTATTTGATATTCAAGACATGATTGTTCAATTTGCCATTGATATAACTAGAGAAGCATATGATTTTAAAAATCCTGAAGTGATCGATCAAATTTATCAGTTCATCATGTTTATTTTTAGTGCATACGAATTATTTTGAAACAAATCTTCGCGTTATCATGTACATAAAATTGCTTTTCTTTATTTTATCCAGCTTTTTAGCATGTTTAAATGGACTTGATCAAACCATTGAACAGGAAATAGGAAATAGCTTGATTATAGCATATAATGATATGATATTCCATGTGAATTGACACCTAAACTGGAACGACAATCTGCTAAGATAATGAACGAAATCGTACAGCAAAGTGCTAATTCATCCATTGTTCACAAATTGGATAATAGATGAAAATATATCGGAAAATAAACATAATCAAGCATTAGCATGTGCACTGACTTTGGATGAGTTTTATCAATATGAATCTGTAATTGATGAAATACAAAACACAATAGTAGTTGGCTTGTGTGATTTATTTATGGACGAAATCAAAATATTCGTCAATAGAAGAGCATAATTTAATTACAAGTTTATCATCCAATCAAAAGAAAAAGACAAAAGCTTCGGAATTAAATAAAACACTTAGAACACATTCGACTAATAAATATGAGTCATTACCAAAGCTCCAATATAAACATACACAATATTAAATTCGAATATTTTATAAACATTCCTATCGTTTAGAGATGTTCAGTTTTGACTCTAAATAATATCGATGCTTGGAATTCGCATAAGAACTGATAGATATTGACTCCTAGGTGAATCGATTGTTTCAATATTGCTGTTTATTGTTACGCTCAGAAATGCTTACATGATAATGAATTTATATTTAACAGTGCAGTATACAATAATCTATAACAACATATTTAAACAAGTCAGAGAACCAATGTAGAAAAGAAGAAAAATCAAGAGATAGAATACATAGGGAAGAAAAAAGGTGAATAAAGAGGATGAAAACGCAAGATAAAAAAGAAATCTAACGGGTACTCCATAATAAATAGGCGTATTTTGCATTACATGTTTTGATTTCAAAATACGTATTAATAAAAAAAATAAAAAAATAAGTCAAAAGGTGCAGCGTGAAAAGCTCTACACTTTGCGCAGAGCAGTTTATTTTATACATGAAATAAGAAACAAAGGAGTTTCTCATTCATGTTAAAAAGATTATGCTTTCTCAGCGACGAAAATTAGTCGTACATCGTTGTGAAAAGAAAAAGTACTCAATTAAAATAAGCTCCACTTTGTAGCTTGTAGAGCTTTTCACGCTGCATCTCATGGTATATTTTGTTTTCTTTTACTAATACGTACTTTGAAATTAAAATATGTAATTCAAAATGCAGCCATTTATTATGGGACACCTGCTAGTTCCATTATATTAAAACTTTG